GGAAAAAATATTCAAAGAAGAAGCCAATAAGGTGTACTCACAAGCATTGAAATATTTAAATGACTGCTATGATTTCAAAAATGCATTTTTTATTTTAGTTCAAAAATTTAATTTAAAAAATAATGTTCCAACTATACAAGACTGCTGTGAACTTGATAAATATATAAACAAAATTGACTTCAAAGTAAAAGGTGACAACGTTTTAATGAACTTTGCACAATAAAGGAAAGAGTAGGAAATTTGGAGGACAAGTTAAAAGCAGAAAAAAAATTCACATTTATGGGAATTTATACTAAAAAAAGAAAATTTTTCCAAACGTTTAGAGGATAATTGAATTTATACTTAGCATTCCAATTTCTAATGCATACATTGAAAGATGTTTCTCTTCAATGAATAACTTATGGTGGGATAAAAGGATATGACGTTAATCTGTTTCTTTTAAACAGATTAACACCAGAGAATGTTAAAGCTGAACTACTAACTTGCAGTAACAAAAATTAAATGTAAAAATTTTTACAAAGAAATAATAAAAAATAAACTTCTAGAAGCAGCTAGAACAACCAAAAATATGCCTTTAAGGTGGTAAATAAAAAATAATGTAATGCAATATTTATTTTTATATAATTTTTCTTAATTATTTTCATGTAGTTTATTATTATATGTAATCATTACTCATGTTACTTTTCAAATTTCTATATTTATATTATATATTGTATCTTTTGTAACTTAAATTAAATTAATATTACCATTGGTATGTGTTATTATTTATTATTCTTATCTATTATTCTTTATCTATTATTTTTGCAATTAATATTGACATTGGACTGTTATTAATTATTTTTGAATATGCCACATGTGATTATCGTATTATTTTAATAATCTATCATGTACAGTACATGTTTACCTTCTAATAAAAAATATTTATTTTTTACTCACAATAAAAAAAACCTAATTTTTTTATTTCTAAGTATAACATCCTAATTTTAAAATGTCCCGTCCCTCATCACCCAGCCACCCCATTGTGCCTGGCTGAACCCATAATGGACTTGCTTAAAAAGGCCCTCTTAGTGCCCACAGGGCAGAAAGAATTAACCAGGTCATCTATTTTGAAAAGGTGGCAACATTACCAGAGATGAACCTTGCTGCATGTCATATAGTAAATGTACTTATCCTCAAAAATGTTTATGCTTGGCAAAGTTCTAGACTTTGAATAACTGTTTAAATCAATAAAATGAATATGCTTCAATTAGAATAAATGTAAAAAAGCTAATAGAAAAAAAAATAAATAAAAAGATCAGATGATTGAAAAAGACAGATGGTAAACTGAAATTGTATGATACGTTATACATGCCAGATGATTTTTCAATGTGGTACTGTATGATAGGTTTGCCACCTCTGCACTAGCAAATTTAACTACAGCCAATAAATTTTAATATCAGAACATTTTCAATCTCTTAAAAGGCATATTTGGTGATTCTAAATGAAACATCATTTTGAAAAGATCATCACTTACAAATGCAAATATTATCTCGGATTTTCTGAACATTGGCGTTACATTGTAAAAAGCTTGAGATAACATTTACGTTGGAAAATGATGTTCTTTTTTAAAAGATGTTCCATTTAGAAGCACTGAAGATGGCCTTTAAGAGGTTAAAACATTCTGATATTAAAATTTGTTGGTGGAAATTAAAGACTAGTGTTTTAATATTCCATACTTTCAATTTGGAAGTGTTATGAAAATATGATATTTTTAATTATCAATCTTGTCTTTTAAATTGAAATAAAAGATCAAAATTTAAATATGAAGTGAACTAAAATTTATTATTGTATTGTAATAAATTAGATTTCTTAATAGAACATTAAATGAGTAATACTAGCCTGACATTATTTAATATTAAGATCAAAAGTTTAATCATCAATCATATCAAGTATAATATTTTGAAATCCATCTTATCACTTATAAAATGTGTCAATATATAGCAGAAAAAGAACTGACTATCACTGAAATAGATTTAAAACCAAGAATACCGTGAAGTGGGTGTAAGGATATGCGTTTGCACTCTCATAGCTCAAGCAAAAAAATGTGGAAAAAAAATATTATGGTAATTTTATTTTATTCATAAATGCCCAAAGCAATTTGTCAAATATAATAAGAGATAAAAGCTCAACTTTTAAACAATAAATGTAGCAATTTTTGTTTGTGTCCAAATTTGTCTATTTTAAATCATTATTACACAGTTAAATGGGAGATTTTTATAAATGGTTTTATTTGTGCTTACTGAGACTTCACAACAACTATTTGCTCAGAATCTTCACCATAGAGAACAATACTATTAGTAAAATCTTCTTGTTTTAATTGTCAAAGTATAATTTTTTAGAATATTTTTGTAGAATGACACAAAACATGAGACTATTGATTTGCAGTTTCATTAACTTTACATAAATAATATGACAGTAATTAATCTCAATTACTTATTCCATTATGCATCAATGCATTTCCTGAAATAAATCCTGCCAGTGCCACTATTCAAAACTAAAAGAAAGAGAACCCAAAAAATGATTATATTATTAATTTGATATATAAAAAATTAATTATTATATAAATAATTTTTACATCATAAAGATAACAGGAAATAAATTTATTTTAAATATATTTATCTAGGTTAATTTCATTTGATCTTTATTCCATCATAATCAGAATTTAACTAATTACTGGAAATTAAATAAATACACCAATTTCTACTATAAATTATATCTCAAATACACAAAATCATCATCTAATAAGTTTTATATAATTATAATGTATTTGTATAAATTATGAAAAAAAAATAAAATTATTTGCAGTGACATTTTCTATATTACATGTTACTTAAAATCATGTTAAAGTGATTAAAAATAATAATAATAATAATACTCATTACTTGAATGTGAAAGTTCTGTGCCTTATAAATTCATATATACAGTTGTACTAAATTTCAGATTTTTATTACTAGTCTGATTATTTAATATTAAAATCAAAACTTTATCAATCATATCAAATATAACATTTTGAAATCCATCATCATATAATGGTAAAATTTATATCTAGTTAGTTGAAATATGTTTTATTCTGTCCATAAAATACATTATAATATAAAACATTGATATCCTACTAAATACACTGCACATATTACAAAACTATTTTATTGCAAGAATACTAAATGAATGTACAGTATAAATGCAACTATTTCTCACACTAAGTTTGTTTTGTATCTCTTACATTATGTAAAAAGATGTTTTTGTTAAATAAAACGCTATCATGTTCTTCTTAAAAAAGCTCCTCAAACATAAATCCAGTTCATACGATTTTTCTTGGAATAAAAACGTTTTAGAAAACCAACATTTTCACACACACGATGCATTTTCTAAAAGTTTCTGCCTGAAAGCTCTTGTTTTCTAAAACTTTTCAATTCAAGAAATGTATTATGAATGAAACTAAATGCTACTGTTTCACTAAGAAATTCTTTTTGATTTTCAACAATACAGCAATTCTTTTTATATTAAACATTTACATGTCAAAAAAGTTGTGATAACTTCTAAAAAAGTTTGATTTTAAATACTATCAAAAACATTATGCAATTAACATATTTTGTTTAAGTAAAAATATTGTTGTATTTAGAAAAAAACAGAAAAGAAATCTTTAAACAAATAATGATGCATATGAATTACTGTATTAAGTTTATAACTATTAAAATGTAAACATTGCAATATAAAACATTATGATAAGATGGCTTCTCTGCAATATTGAACAATAAGTTTAGTGGATAGTTGTATTTGATAAACACGCATTCAGTTTTTTGTTTTAATTTTAAAACTGTAAAATCTTTACTGAATAAAAGTTGACAATATAGTTAATCTAAATAGAAAGAAACAATTTTAATTTAAACTTTAAAGCCAATGATGAAGAGTTTTCAGAGTTCTAAAAGGAAAAAAAACTTGTTTTTTTGTTTTTATCAATAAATCTAAAAGTAACTTTTTTCAAACTCAAACTCATATTGTTTATATCTTGAAAGTTCAGCAAATATATATAATATAAATACATATTGAGTGATTTTTAAACAAAGATCCTAGACAAAAAAATTCTTAAAAATGTTTTCTGAATCAATCTTTATCTTTCTTTCTTAATATATAATTTCTATCTTTAATAAATAAAGATTCAATTTCATACACACATATTAAAACAGTCAAATTCAACCATTAAAAGTTAATTTTGAATTTTAAGGATCATATGTTAGATATAAAACTAATGTTTAAACAGTTTTATGGATAGTATATCTTTGCATAATCATCTTCAATAATATTCACATATCATATATTATGTCTATAAGGAATATATGTTAGTAAATATTTTCTAATAGCTAAAATTTCACACTATAAAAGCAATTTGATTGAAAATAATAACATAGTGATCATCTCTCATTGCCGTTATCTCTAAATTTAGTCTATATTTTACCATTAAATCCCATAATAGTTATGTAGTAAAGAAAAACTTACCTAAGAAAGTTATATCAAATACATTAAGACATCTACTGAGTCGCGTTTCGTGCAAACCTCTTTCACTAAAATGCTTTGTCCTAATTAAAGAGGAGGGAAATTCATCAACATAAGCTCGTTTATAATTAGAAGCAAATGCTAAAAAGTTTTCTTTGGTGGATGAAAAGAAGCAGGTGATGCGGGAGATGAAACTCATTTTCTTGAAATTGACTCCTGAAATGTTACAAATGACATTTTAAAACGTTATCTGCATTTTATTTTATTTTTTTTTAAATGAATTATTTACATAAATAGCATTAATCAATGAGGTCAAATATCGAAACATTTTTATTTTTTTCTCATTAACCTTTGATCACCAGAAAGATAGGATTGTTTCCCTTCAAGATTATTATATTCAGTTCACGTGATAATTACAATGTTTTTCGACGCAAAATTAAAAAATTGTATCTTAAATTTTCCCCAATTAAATTATAACTTTTAAAACGAATATTGTATCCTTTCCGCATTTAAAAAAAAATATCCTAAAGACAATTCGTATGCAATTAATTGGAAATTTATGATTTGTATTATTATTAATTGACATTATATTCGTAGTATATTACAAGTAAAGTACACAATTAAATTGTAAATTTAAAAAAAAGGAGTGATGCAAAGTAATTTAATCAATTTTTTTAAAAATTTAACACGTGAATGATGTAAATTACAGCAACGTCGAGCAGCAAGGAGATAAACTATCCACGTAAATATCAAATATAAACTGAAAAATTACGTTAAATACCGTTAAAACATCCACATTAATCGAAATTAACTTTTTATAAATTAAACCGAACAGAGATTTTTTTTAAAAAGTTTATGTAATACACATCAAAACACGCGACAATGAATCATAATTCTATAACAATACAACGAATTTATGTGTCTATTACACATAAATGTGCGTAATAGATATATTAAATATACAGATTATCGATTATTACTTATAGTTTATTACTCGTACCTTTCGAAACTTTTAATCAAATGTTTCTCCTGTCATACGTGGCCATAACCACCTGTAGATACAGTACAATACAAACGCTCCTCTTACTTAATCACCCCTCTGTACAGAATGGTAACGTTCTCTTCCGAAGTGACTTATCGCTCATTTTGATTTGACATTATTCGACTAAATAAAAACAACAGAAGCCGGCTTCATTAGTTAACAAAACGTTTCATTTGTAATAAAAATTTCAAATTTAATTGTATTTTAATTTATAAATTCCATATTCTTTTCTTCCTATTAAGGTGTGGGGAAGACACGGGAAAATAATTTTCTATGTAAAGCGGGTTAATCGACACATATACTGATAATTACGTGTTGTTATCTTCTTTTTTTTTTCTTAATTGTATTATTAAAAAACAATGTAGAATAAATGAGTTTTCTTTCGATAACATTTTAAATGTTGCCGTGTATATTTTCGTTTATATTTTCTATGTTATTTAGAGGAAGAATAATATTCTTTCTACTCTTTCACTTGTAATTATTCCATACTGTACCCGACATTGAAGGTTTTGTCTAGATATTCTACAAGGTAAACCAGTATCATACACTAGCGATTACACATTAGAGGTAACATAGAAGCCAAATCTGGCCGGTGGCACATTTAATCCGGCTGGAGAACAACAATTATAAATAATAGAAATAGCCTTTATTTTGTATGCATAAAATATACACAATATTTGTGCCCGGCATGGCAATTTGACCCACAAATCAAAAGGTTTGGGCGCCACTCTACTAGTGTGTAAGACAAAATCGGAACTGTTAAGATTAAATTGTTGGCATTAAAAAAATAGGCCGGATTTGTCTATCGATCGGAGCACTCTGATAAAGAAAAAAATAAGAATAATTTTCTTTAATATGATTAATTATAGTAATAACTTAAAAAGTAAAAAAGGTTTTTAGAAAAACCTTTACAGTGGTGGAACTAAATAAGATATTAAAAGAAGAATCCTTCTGATTTTCTCATCTCAAGATTAACAAGGATTTTAAGATAATTTAAAGATTAATTTAACTAGATGTAAATTATGAAAACAGTAAATTACATAGTAATTGTATTGTTGTTTTGAATTGTAACCCTATAAAAGGGGTCTTTAATATGAATAAATTATTTATTGGAATTTTAAAATCCTTGCTAAAATTAATAAATATTTTTATTTAGATCTTAATTTATTTTGATTTAGAATTTTTTTCTTGTAGAGAAATAAATCAACTTATAATAAAAATTATCTTTAATTGACAATAAAAGTTTTTAAAAAAATAAAAATAAAAATGAACAAATGTTTTTGTAATAAAAAGTCTTTTTATTTTACTCCTAGTTGATAAAATTTCCTAATTAATTCCACTTCAAAAATTATTTGAAAAAAAATTATTTTTGAAAAAAAAAAGGAAAATCAAATTTAACTTTAAGAATAAATTAAGAATTTTCAACATTTCATCTAAAGTGAAGAGAATGAATTTTTATTAGAAAATTTAAAATGAATTTTCTCAAATAAATTATCTTAAAGATTATCTAAAAGAAAAATTAAAAATCTCCAGTGAGAATTTCCTGAATTGTAAAGATGTAAGTAACTTTATGTCTAATCAGCTGATTTTTAAAAGGAGATAATTCATTTTTTGAAGATTTAAATTACTGATAATCTATCATTTTACTGACTTGTTAATAAAAATAAACTTTTCTATTTGGAAAGGTTGTTAGTTCATGTTTATTTATTTTATTTTTGTTATCAGCAATTTCTCCTATTTCATTTTTGTTTATCATCATTCAAAATGCTTATCTCCTTTTTTTTAAAAAAATATTAAATATATTACATATTTGACAAGATAGTCTTATAAAGATTATCTTAAAAATAGTACAGACTGGTTTATATTCTAAAAATATATTTCGGTTAACTCATTTTTGGGCCATATTAACAGATTTAGCTTTGTTACTGACATCTGATGACAGAATTTGTAACTATTTGTTAAACAATGTAAAATTCTATTATAATTTCACCTTTTTATGTTATCTTTATAGGATTGAAAAATATCTTAATAAAGAAAATTCGATATTCAGAATGTCACTTTAGAAACAGTTTATCTATTTATTTATTTAAATGAATTCTGTTTGCTTGAAATTAAATATATTATTATTTTTTAATTAATTATTGATACAAAAATAAGCTTAAAGGTTAATTTATTATAAACGAATAAAATTATATTAAAACGATGTATCGGTCTGTTAATGAAAATTCAAAATGGAAATTTAATAATCTTTATGTTTATAAATAAATATTAATCACTTAGTAACATTATTAGATGCTAATAAATTACTCGCCTATTACAACACTTATTGTAAAATGCGAGTGATTAATTAATATTGTTATACTAATGAAGCGATGTATTATAATTAAAATTAATATAGAAGCCATTGAAAATAGAATTAAACATATATTATATGATAACTTGTCAGTATGAAGCAATTAAAATGTGAAATGTTTTTGATATGTGTGCAATCTGATAAGTTGTAAACTATTTTGTCAGTAAATATCGTAAATTTCATAAGAAAACTCTACTATTTTTCTATGTCCATCTGTGTATTTTAATTTTGTACAAGAAGTGGAGCAGTAAAATTTTAGAGAATTGAGTTAGCAGAATAATTCGAGACATTACCTTAGTGAAACAAAATAATATATAGTCCCTATATTAATTTAAGGAAAGAAAAAAAAATTGAACATTATAAACTGCTTGTTTTAAATGAATTTTTATGCATTTTTTGCAGTATTTTCATTAACAATCTGTTATAGTTTATACAGTTGTAGAAGTGCGAGTTATAGCTTTGTGGTGCTCAAGCAAATTTTAATTAGGGCCTTCATTTATAGTGTTCACTGTAGACATTTTTCTTCGGGAGAATTATTTTCTTATAAAAGATTGGTTTGGGGTTCCCTGTTGGTGGGGCACTAGGTAATTTTTTTTTTTGGTCCATAAGATAACGCGCCACTGAGTTATAGATAAAAAAAATTAAAGATCTAATACACTTTTCAAACCTCTGCCTTCATTCGTTGTTGCTTCTTCTCACGATTTCATAGAAATTTAATTATAATGTAACTTTAAAAATTATATTACAGAAAATGCTATTTAAATTTTCACAAAAAGCAATTTTATTTGCGCTTATCTGCTGAATGAGAATGACTGGAAATGTCAAATTTATAATCTACTTCGAAATCTTTCATTTTATACGTATTTGCAGTATTCTATATTATTCCTAGTTGAATATATTTATATAAAAAATTAATTTAAAAAAAATATTATACATTATAGGAAGCGGTTATNTATTTCCACTTTGATTGTTACTATCAAGATTGTAATCATCGGCATCATCGTTATCTTTTTCTAATGTTGACCAAATGTTATCACCAGTGTTATACTGTTTAATACACCTTTCAGTTGTTTTGTGCATAGAATCTAGTCTGCATGATATAAAAAATGGTCGATTGGAATAATTTCGTTAGTATCCATATCCAAAGAGAATTTGAGATTATTTTTTATAAAGTAATCATCCCTCACAATTAATTTCGTTTCAGCAATAAATTCTGTTTTGATTTTCTTAATCAACTTTTTTCTTCTAATTCTGGATCTATAACATAAATCCGACTTCATAATGATGTTCGCAGTTTCATTAGCAAATTTGGATTTATTCCGCCAAAAATCCTTCAGAATAAGATTTCTATCTTTAACTGATGCCAGTTCTATTTTTATTATATTATTAATGGAATTACTTTTCCCCAATGGAATTAAATGATCAATTAAAATATTTTTTAAATTAAGCTTAACCTCAATAAACTCCTTCAACTTGTCATCTGATTTAAAAGGAAAATTAATCACTATCAAATTCGTATCGTTGTTTTCATTAGTAATACTATCCAATTGGAATTCAAACATACCTTTCAAATGTAAGACTGTTTTCATTTTCTCTTCTCCTATAAGAATTTTTTGATTAATAGCTTTCATGTCTTCTTTAATTTGAATGTTGTCTACCTGTATTCGACTTATTTCCTGTTTAATCGCACTAATCTCCTGGTTTAGTAGTTCAAATTTACTCTGTATTAGCTCATAGATTGATTTTAACGAATATTCCGGTTCAACTGCGCCACCCTGATCGAACTGATCTGACGATTCAAAATAATCAATAATTCTAGATTTTCTTGACGTCCCAATGTTTTCTCTTATGTCTTCGTCTATAATATCATCGTCATTAATCACTTCCATTGCATGACTTGTATTATCAGAACAGGGTAATACTGCCTTTTTAGGACGACCGCGCCCCTTCTTTTGCATAGCTATTTGACTTGAGCCAGGAGGAGAATGTTGTAACGGACCGGGGTTAGTTTCTATTCCGGCCATAATTAGCAATATTAACAACAAATACAACGACATAAAACACATTAACAACCAAAAACATTAGGCTACAATTAAAAATAGTCAACACCACAACTACAGTTCACACAAGGTCAGGCGTAAAACTCACCCACACCGACGAAGTCCTATATGTTCTGTATGTATTTTAACAACTACTGACAACTTCTATTGTACAGTATAAAGTACTTATGATACGCTAATACATTTATATCTACAGCCATTAAATAAACGAAGATTAATTTAAGTAATTTAAATATTAATTATCATAAATTTTGTCAGAAGTTGAATTTACAGTAATCGTATCGACATAAGCAAAATAAGACACAGAAATAATCTATTAATATATTTAAATATATAAAGGAATAAGCACCGAAAAATGTCATACATAGACAATCAGAATCAAAGTTTCATTTATGGCAAGTGATCTACAGTATATTCTGCCAATAAAACAATGATTCTGTCACGACCGATGACAGAATCTGTACCAAATTCGACAATCTCGAATGCACTTTTCCTGTCAGTTTTGATTATACGGATGTGCGCTAGCAAGTGAAAAAATTATCAATGCGTGTGGTCCAGTGTGACCCATTGGCAGATTTACTGTGTTTCAAGCTGGAACACAGTAAATAAAATCTTATAATTATCACATTGAGCCAGTTATATTATTGGTTTTTTAAAGATATTATTTTTGTACCCATGTAACTGTTAGCATAAGTGTCATTTAAAA